GGCACGCTGCAACTTATGGCATTACGATGACAGATGTGTAATAATAATACCCCATCTCTCAATGTAGTTCCACCCAAATGGATCAAGCAGTTAGAAGACCTTGAAGCTGATATCCGAGGAAGTGCCACGTTTGAATGTGAAGCAACGGGTACCGAGCCCATCACATACAAGTGGTACCGCAATGGGGAACAGTTTACAACACGTACCAGACATAGTTTTAGCAACAATTTTAAGCGTTTAACAATTAACAGTCTACAAGATGCCGACAGTGCAATGTACCAGTGTAAAGCGGCCAATACACTGTTAGATAAAGAAAGGGCTATCTATTCTACAGGACAGTTAACTGTTTTAGGTAAGTGACTTTCATCAGGTTTAAAATTATATGCTTCAGTTTGTTTTTATTCATGTGGATAATTGCTCAAGTTAAAGCGATAATAGCTGTGATTTTGAAATTTTTTTTGTTTAAATAAAAGCACATAAATTTGACCAAATCTTACATATTTGCATGGACACAAATTGTTCTACACAAGACTATATCACATAAAATGCGATGTGAAAACTGAAGGTAGTCGTCATTTCTGTCACACGATGGGATTGTGATGGATGAAACACACTATTATGAGAAATAACACAAAAAAATTAAATCTCCAGTGAGTTCATCAGAGAAAGAATTAGCCTTTAAAAATGGGAAGAATTTAATATTTCACCGAGAACCCCAATAAAGTTGTCTTGTATCGTATTTCCTGAGATTTGCTTGACCAAAAGTGGAGTTTTGTGATAACCTTATATGAATCTTTATTAGCTGATACTTGGCCCTATGGTATCAAATCTTTCGCCCTCTTATTGTGATTTGTAATTGGCCAATATATTTAAAGTAATAATTTCATTCGCTGTAAACGTATTTTAAAGACGGTGTAATTGCTAAATAATAGGTTGTATTGTTTGTGTTTGAATTATTAGTAATTTGGTCAGTGGTAACAATATTTTAGAATGAAAAATGGTTTAACTTTTTTACAACAAGACTTTCTCACCCACATTTTTAGCTCCGCTGTCGACTTTGTCGAGCGAAGCTTATCATATGAGTGATTGTCAGTCGTCGTCTGTGTCAATGTTTTACTTTTTCAATGTCTTCTTGAAAACTACAAGCCTGAATGCTTTGATACTTGGTGTATATGTACATTGGGTAGACCTCTCTCAGATTTGTTCATTTCATGATATCTTCAATTCTCTAATTTTGGTGAATATTTTTGTCATTTTTGGTCAAAAGTGATATTTTCGACTTCATGTTAAAAACCGCAAGTCCAATTGCTTTTATATTACATATATATTGGTACTACATATGGACCTCTCTCAGATTTGTTCATTTTGTAATGATATCTTCAATTCTCTAATTTTAGTGAATATTTTTGTCATTTTTGGTATTACTGGAAAAATGCTTAACATTATCTAAGACATGCTTTATGATAGTAAAGTTAAATATAAAGTTAAAGAAGGTTTAACAGAGCATTGTTTAGCTCCGCTGTCGACTTTGTTGAGCGGAGCTTATCATATGAGTGATTGTCCGTCGTCGTCCGTGTCAATGTTTTACTTTTTCGACTTCTTCTTGAAAACTACAAGCCTGAATGCTTTGATACTTGGTGTATATGTACCTTTGGTAACCCTCTCTTAGGTTTGTTCATTTCATGTTGATATCTTCAATTCTCTAATTTTGGTGAATATTTTTGTCATTTTTGGTAAAAAGTGTTATTTTCGACTTCTTGTTAAAAACCGCAAGTCCGATTGTTTTTATATTACATATATAGGTACTCCATGTGGACCTCTTTCAGATTTGTTCATTTTGTAATGATATCTTTAATTCTCTAATTTTGGTGAATATTTTTGTCATTTTTGGTAAAAAGTGATATTTTCGACTTCTTGTTAAAAACCGCAAGTCCAATTGCTTTGATACTACATATATAGGTACTCCATGTGGACCTCTTTCAGATTTGTTAATTTCGTGGTGATATCTTCAGTTATATAATTTTGATGATTATTTTTGTCATTTTTGGTGAAAAGTGATATTTTTGAAAGTGTTTTCTTTTATTCTTCAATATTTCTGGAAATAAACCCTAATTTTGGAGCCAACAGACAAAATTTGAGTTAATTTTCAGTTTTTACTAAAAAAATTGGCTATTTTTGTCCTAATCTGTTGAAGGAAAGTGCAGACTATAAACAGGACTATTTTGTGATGAAAAGAGGGATCTGGTGGTGAAAATGATTTTTGATTGAAGCTTCCACTTGAACTTTTTTTCAGCTATTGCACCATCATTTGCTGATACACCATTGCTACAAAATCAGCCTGCTGCCAGAAATGGTAACATCACCATTGAATGTAATCCAGAGGCGGCCCCTAAACCTGATTTCACATGGCTTCATAATAACAGGCCAATCTCCATCACCAACGGAGGGCACTATACAATATTGGACAATGGTCACTTGTTTATTCAAAACGTGCAGGACAGTGATGGAGGCAAATACACATGTATTGCACGCAACTACATCGGAGAAGATCAAAGCGAAGGTCGGCTTGTTATCAGAGGTAAATATTTGTTTGTCTGACTTTAATTATCTTCATCATAACACCTTGACCATGACCTTTCAGTGACATCAGGTGATGAAATCTTGTACTTATCGTCTACAATGTGGAACTGTTGAAAAATAATAAATTATCCTCAATTTGCGAGTACGAGTATAGATGCGTTTATTTTGCTGTGTTGTAACTACAAACAAAGTTTGTTTTGATGAATTATGCCTATGTCCAATAATTGACTTGAAAAGTATAGTGATATTAGGGAACTGATCATTACCACCCAGCCGGTTTCCTGTGAGTTTGACTCGGTTTACCGTACCGGTCGTTGCTTTACCGTACCGACCGTTGCGTTACCGTACCGACCGTTGCGTTACCGTACCGACCGTTGCGTTACCGTACCGACCGTTGCGTTACCGTACCGACCGTTGCGTTACCGTACCGGCCGGTGCTTTACTGTACCGGCTGGACAATTACCGTACTGATAGGACCAATACCGACTATTTATCACCTTCGATTAATGAATGCATGGTAAACAAAGCCCCGGTAAC